TTTTTAGAGATTTTTTGAATTATTTTGAAGAGGTGAAAAAACGAAGAGATTCTAATGACCCTGGTTGGTATGGATAAGGCACCAAATTGTAGATGGTACGGTAAGGGTTAAAATCATTTATTTAACATTTTCTATTTCTTCTATCATAGAAAGTAAGCAATATTTATAATCATTTCCAACCTGCAAATCAGGGAACAACTCTATTAATTTGCTAAATGAAAAATATAAAATTAACAAATAATTAATAATACAGTAATAATATTTCAAAAGCTTCTCTTTTTATGGCGCGTTCATTTTAACGATTTAAAATAAAAATCTATACAGAAAATTTTCATTCACACTTGTATTTACGTCATATGTGTCACGCGATAATCAGCTTAGAAACTGAACTAATGACGGTACTTCATATACAAACATCTCATCTGATGGCTGTTTCCCTTCATCTTTACATATAGAATGGAATACATTATATATAGCGTTGCCACTCGCGTGTGTCCTCAAAAGAAAAGAAATAAGATCATCCGCGTTAAGGAAGATCGCAAGACGTGATCGTAATTAAGTTTAATTTAGGACACAATTAGTATGAAATTACCAAAATATTACCAATACTTGATCTCCTACTAGTCCATTTGAACAAATCGAACTATGACCTATTAGGAAAAATGCCTTCCATTATCTAATTAATACTATTAAATTACCGTCTTTTCATTCCCCACTTACGTCAGATCGACGTAAATTTGATGTTCATTAGGTCAGATCTAATAGACTTTCGAACCTGGAGGTCGATTGAACGTATTTTCGACTAATTTTGCTGCTTGGGGTAAGAATAATTCTCCTGAAAAGAAAAGGAAGACAAATGAACTGGTGCAAAAGTTCAGCTAAAAACAACAGGCCTATGGTATGGATTATCTTCACGTAGCTATAATATAGATACATCATCAGAATTTAGCCCATTTAGCCTTAATATTGACAATTAGGTACTATCAGAGAGAAACTTATGTGTCGACTTGTGTTATTAAATGGAAAACATCATGTGTTGAACGTTTAGCCAGCACGAATAAGAGATTTATAAAATTTGGGCGCTGGTCTAGAGCAAATCTAGCTAATAATAATAATAATAATAATAATCGCATCGCATTTTTCCAATTTAGGGCAGCACTCAAAAGTTGTCTCCGATATAAAGAAAGACAAATATTTAAGACGAGCTGTCACGAATTTTCTTTATCCTATTTCACTTGTAATTAATTAATCTTTTTTCGCGATATAAATGTATCTCGGTTAGAATTTTGACTGATCTCGATGAAGATTCAAATTTCGAGATGTTATCAATTTCGAATGTTACAGCAATGCCGAATCTATAATGTAATAAATAGTACCAAAGGCCCTATAAATTCCTTTTAAGGTTTTTATATAAATATAAATATAACACTATGTTGAAAGATTCTTAATAAATGAATATACAATTCTCATTAAGAACCAAGTATATTTAATTAAAACAGAACTCTTATATTAAATGATAAACGAGATAGCAAGAGATGAACAAAATTCTACAATTTAAAGTAATCTTAAGATTAATCAATTTAACATAAAAGATTACTTATGCTTCGTACAACAACAGTTTGCTTATTATTAAAACTTATCTGACACAAGAGAACTAATTAATATCGCCGTTGCAAGGCCTTGCAATAAAACGCAACCGCTTGGTACCAAGATCCAGAAAGAAAAGGGGCGAACAACAGCGATGTTCAAATCTTTTAAACAGATGAATAACTAGAGGAATAAGTGCCAACACTATCGATTAGTTTAATGCAATTAATCGATAATACAATTCATATCATATTCTCAACACACTATAAATATAATACCAAGGAGAATACGTATAAAAGTTTCTGAAACATTGGTTTGTTGTGCTATAAATAATTAAATAAATATATTTGATTTTGACACTTATATAATAATTTGGGATTTCGAATATCTACAGTAATTTTTATCCACAGTTGGCACAAAAGCGTTCTCTATTTTAAAAATATTCAAAAAACAAGTATTATAATAATCCATGTGTATGTATATCATGATACATATCATAATTAATATTATACATATCATAATTAATATAATTATAGTATAAGCATATGATTTTTTATCTAAAAAAATATTTAAAGCAACGAAGATTAAGATAATACTCGAGCCACAAGCATACACACATATTCGAGCTATTCGAACATTAAAAAAATTCCATCAACCAATCGAATATTTT